GTGAAATACGTCAGACCCAAAAAGACAAACACTGTATGAGTCCACTTATTTGGAGAACCTAGACTAGTCAAATTCATAGAAACAGAAAGTAGAGCATCATTTTTAAGAACTGAGGAAATCTAGGTGTCAGTGGCTCACACCTATAATCCTAGCTACTCAGGAGGCAGAGATCAGGAGGATCATGGTTTGAAGCCAGCTCGGACAAATAGTTCAAGAGACCCTATCTCAAAAAAACACTTCACAGAAAAGGGCTTGTAGAGTGGCTCAAGGTGTAGGCCCTAAGTTCAAGCCCCAGTACAGCAAAAAAACAACAACAAAAAAAAACACCTAAGAAAGTCTGAATGAACTATGGTCTTTAGTTATTAATACATCAATATTGGTTCATTCATTGTAACAAAAGTCCCACATTAATGGAAAAAGTTAAAACAGAAGAAAATAGGTGTAAGGTATGGGGAACTTTCTGTACTAAATTCTCAATCTTTCTGTAAATCTAAAACTGTTCTTAAAAAGTCTTTTTTTAAAAAATTCAAGGGACATAAAGGCTAACAGCCCTTGCTCAAGAAAAAAATGCTCTTCCAACCAATGAAAAATATATGCAAGCAATTAGAAAAATTAGTGCTAAGGAAATAAGCAATTCACCAAGGAAATATGCAATTTTATTGCATAAAATAAACTTATGCAAATTATTAAGTTAAAATTAATTCATACAAAGATATTCAAAATCATAAGGTCAGACAAAATAAATGAGATCATGTACTTATCATAGTATATGGTATATAATAAATGAAGTTGTTAAAATATAATAATTAAATGCAAATTTAAATAACAAATATATACATATATATGTATATTTATAGTTGTGTCTATGTAATCTGTATATACAAAATTAGGTTAGAAAACATTGAAAGGTGGGTGCCAGTGGCTCAGGCCTATAATCTAGCCACTCAGGAGGATCTTGTTTAGAAGCCAGCCCCAGGCAAATAGTTCACAAAGGGATCCTGAAAAAAACCTACCACAAAAAGGGCTACCATGAGTTTAAACCCCAGTGCCGCAAACACTGAGAAAATTTACAATGCTCAAAGTTAACAAAAATGTGAAAAAGCAGGCCTTGTCATAATTTGATGGCAGGAGTATAAACAGGCACATCCTTTTTGTGAAACATTTAGCTAATATCTTCTAAAGTTTAAAATATATATGAGATATATACACACATATACCCTTCAAGTGATTATCATTACTCAAAATTTATCCTACAGAAATATCAAGCACAAGCATACAAAGATACCTGAATGCAGGCATTCATTGCAATAAACAGAAAAGCTAGAAATAGAAGTCCATCAACATGGTGTCAGTTTAAAAAAAAAAATCAGCCAGGCCTGATGGTACATGCCTGTAATCCCAGCACTTGGGAGGCTACAGCAGGAGGATCTGGATTTCAAGGCCAGTCTGGCTACATAGAAGACAGTGCCTCAAAAAACCAAACAAACAAGCAAAAAAAATCATGGAAAATGTGGTAGATGTGTATATGCACTTAAGTGGAAAACTGTCCAAGAAAAAGAATAATAAGTAGCTAAACTGAAAAACTTTTTGAAAGGGAGGGATTAAACTAAATTAGGAATACTTAATCTGAGGTCTTCCATTTATACTTCAAGGGAACCAAACCTGTGTATGCACATTTTCTATAAAAAGAATTCATAGCTTTTACTAAATTCTTAAAGAAACATGAGACCTCCAAAAACGGTTACTACATAATCACTCCAAAGAGCCTCCTAAATTCTGAGTATCTGAGAAGTGGGTGAGGTTATTCTCAAATTATGAGGAAGTCTTTGGAAAGGAAAAAAATTCACTTAATTAAGCTTTTAACTTTTTGTCTCTACCACAAAACACAGTGTTATCTCAAGACTCGTAAATCTAAGGGTGTGAAGGAGCTTATTCTTCAGATAAGCCTGTATTGATTCACCAACTAATTATAAACCTCAACCAAAAATTAAAGAGCAACAATAGTTTTTAAAATGTGGTGACTACCTTATGCTTAATGGCTGGGGGCGTGGCTCAAATGACAGATCTCTTACCTAGCACATGCAGGGCCTGAGTTCAAACCCCAGTACCAAAAAAAAAAAAAAAAAATTGCAGTTATAAAAAAAGATGACACAGAAGCAAAGGGAGAGCAACATTAAGTAGCAGTTGTCCCATTTCAGTGGAGCGAGCTGACGCGGACTCTAGCTAGTACTCACAATGGAAAAAAAGGTACAGGAGTTGGGTAATCTTAACTCTTTTCTTGAGATAAGTGAGTTAAAGTAAGGCAAATAAATTAGGCATTATAGTTTTATAGGCTTTCTTTGAACAAAAACAAATCTTTTTCTGGAGGCAGATGGAGTGGGAGGAGTCCAACACTTTTGGAATATCATAGAGTAAATTAATATATTAAATATTATAGCCACTTTTAGAATCAATGAAACTTAATGAAGGTTGGAATCAATCAGCAGAAAATAAAATATATCTTAAAATAAAATAAAATAAAAATATACCTTAGAACACTGTTTCTCAAATAGAGATAATTTTGCCCCCTAAGGGACATTTGGTATTGTGAACATATTTTTGATTGTCAGGACTGGGAAGGGGCTACCCCAGGGATGTGGCTAAAAATCTTTACAGTCTCTGCCTTCTTTCAAAATGTCAATACCAAGGCTGAGAAACCCTGTCTCACTTAGTTTGGGGCACCAATCAGAAATCCTAAATCCACAACAGTGTTTGTTTATTTGTTTAGAAATACTGACACCTTGTCAACTTTCATGGGATATATTGACATGCATGATTTTCAAAGAGTTGTTTCAAAGAAATTACACAAACACACCCTATGACTCTCACAAGCAATAGTGAGTGAAAGAAAACAGACACAAAATAACACATTTTTACATTAAGAGATCAAAAAGTGGTTCCTTTGGAGAAAAGGGGAAGGGAGAGAACCCAAGAAAGACTTCTGGAATGTTCGTAATTTTGTATTTCTTAATCTGGGTAGTCATTATATAACTGTTCACTTTGTGACAATTCATCAAGCTGTGTACTAATAATCTGAGCACTTTAACAAAAACATTTTGTATTCAACAAAAAAGTCTTTTAATATTACATATTATGTCCCAAAAAGATGATCATTTTGATTGAGAAAGCTGAATTAGTATCAGCTGCAAAAATAAATGTGTTTTGTGATACAGGCTGCCTTCCAAGAATTCAAGAAGGATGACACCCCCAGAAAGCTGTAAGTAGCATACCAGGTGTGTATACAGCATTCAGCTGTACACTTAAGCCACTATATATCCCTTGGCACCAATCCAAAAATTTGACAAACACTACTAACAAACGCTGTTAAATTTATCTCTTGGACACTTTGGTTGGATTATTTTCCCTAGTGCGAAACTGTGAACGGTTATCAGAGAACAGGCTCTGTGAAATAAACAAGGTTTGCTCTTTCCTAATTCCACATGTTCTCCAAGCTCCCCCAAACTAACCCCTTCCAGGCCCCTCATCTCTTTAAGATTTCTCCAGGCTGCTTCTAACAGTGCCCACCACTGCCTCTCCGCATATCCCCCTCACATTCCACCTCCCACACTAGGAAAATTCACGACTGCCCAATCCACACACCAGGCTCCCCAGCCACACTTAACCGTCGCCCAGAACCTCATAACGCAATGCAAACCTCACACTCACAATATTCTCCACGAACTCCCTGCCCAAAGGCACCCCAAAAACAGGGCACATGCTATCCCAGTCTTTTAAATCCTCTCCCACCACAAAAAGCCCTTAGTCTGCAAACATCGCTGTTCCCGACCACCACTCGGGCGATCTCCAACTTTTCCCTTTAGTCCCCTCCTTCCCCAACTCAGATCCATTCCCCGGCCCCTGCACTCTCTTCCCTCTCTCTTACAGGAAGGATATGAAGGAGGAACTTGCTCTGTACGGTGTGGAGGTAGTAGAGAGAAGGTTGCTCAAGTCTCCAACAAACAGCACGGTGCATGGGCTACAAAGTCAGACGATGGATTCTGAAACGCTGCCCCGCCACTTAAGGCTTTGGACAAGCCTCAGTTTCCTCAACTGCAAATGTGGATAATAAAAACAGCTATCCCAGAGTTGTGAGGAGTCAATGAACTGGCCACCGAGCACTTTACACAAATCCACAGGGGAAGCTCTCGGCGAGTGACAGTTTGTCCGGTACTTTAACTCTCCAGAATGCTGAGTCCTCCCCGGGGGACAGAGGGACAGCAAGACAGGAGGGACGGAGTACTATACAGATATGTCACAAAGGATGTTGTTAGACCCCCAAATTCAGTGCTCGCTCTTTCTTATGCCCTTATAATGCGAACCCAGGAAACCTTGAAAGCTGCGGCTAAAGGATGAGAGAAGATATTAATACATACTTTAAATACTCTTTCCCGATACTCATTGGGGGAAATGAAGTAAGAAAAAGTCCCCTCATTTCTAAGATGCGTGTCTTAGGGTCTGAGAATTAGGAAGAAACCCCGAAGTCCCAAATGCATTTCTCTACAGGCGGAGGGGAGAGCTTCACAAGAAGGGGAGAGAAGAGCGATGGCCAGGAATCCTAACTCTGGGCGAGTCCGCAGCAGGGCACCAACTGCTTTCTCCAAGAGGGAGAGAAAGCGAACGCGCTCAGGCTGCGTCTCGTGCAGCACAGGGCTTCCCCCGGCGTCTTCCCAGGACTAAGGGGGGAGGGGGGGTCCGCTCCAGGGAATCCCCCGCTCCCTTCAGGGCGAGAGGCGGGCCCCGGGGAGTTCCTCACAAGCCCACGTCCGGTAATGGGATGCTCCAGGGACCCGGGGATCTCCCAGAGCTTCGGCCATCCCGGGACCCCTCCCCTCCCAAGCTCTCCTGACAGCCGTCCTCGGTCCTTCTCCGGGTCTCCCGGCTAGCGCAGGGTCACCGGAGCCATCAGGTCTCCGCGCGGGCCTCCGCGGTCCCCGCCGAGCACCGCGAGCCCGCAGGCTTACCTGCTGAGACGGCAGCTCCACATGCAGGGCCCGCGCGGCAGAACCCGGCGGCAGCGCAGCAGCCGGGCCCGGGGGCGGCAGGGGGACCGGGCCCCCGACCGACGCTGAGGCGCTCATCTCGACCCAGGGGCCGCCGAGCGGCGAGGCGGGCCCTCCTCTCGCATCCGCCGCCGCCGCCTTCTAGCCGCGACCCGCAGAGCTCCTGCAGCCTAGAAACCCACTGCCCGAGAGGCAGGACTGCTGGGTCCCCGCGCTGGCCGCCGCCGCTGGCTAAGGAAGAGCCATATTACCGCAGTGCAACCCCCTTCCACCCGGCCGAGACCTGTCTCGCTCATTGGTTCCGCTCTCACGGGGGCGGGACCCAACGGCAGCCAAGCGACGTGCTATTGGGTAGCAGCTCAGTCCATCGCCGGCCGGAATGGGCTGGGGGGCGGAGGGACTCAAGGATGGCTTCAATTGCGTCTGTCAAGCCGGGGTGAAACCTGGGGCGTTGCTTCTTAATGTCCCAGTCTAATTGGTTCTTTCGCCATCAAGGGGCGGGGTCTCCTGGCGGAACCGCAAGGGCCATTGCTCTAGATCGCTGTCAGTTGGCAGTAAAAGAAGAGGGGCGGGATCTTGATTAGGTAGAGCGCGCGCCAGAGCTCTAGTGTCACGTGCAGAAGGCTGGATAGTCACCTGATTTAGTGAGACTTGGTCTTCTGAGCCACTTCCGCCCTAACCTAGTTGCCATGGTAACGAGCCTCGGTGGAGGGCGGGGACCCAGGTGGCACCAGCTGGTTGGGGGTTGATAGACTTCCATTGCAAGCTCCTTGAATAGTCTTTTCCCGAGGTTCTCATCAACGTACGAGGGACCGGAAAAAGAATGCTTTATGTTTTAGCAGAGAGCAACCACGCAGGATGCACTGAGACCAGAGACCTGTCGGGCAGTCCCATCACCGCCTCCACGACAAACTCCAACCCTCAAGTTCACGCCCCTCCTCGCATCCACTAAACCAGCTATGAAGTGTGCCAGCCGCCCTGGACTCTGTTTCATCTCTGCGGGTGGGTTTCTTATGCTATCCCTAGAAAGTCTTTGCTACTTTTCTCCCCCTGACTAATCTCAGCTAGGTCAGGAGCCCCTTCTTCCAAGAGACTTTGCTGATCCTCTTTAGGACCCTGAATTAGGAAACTTGGTACTACCACAGTCCTGATTATTTTATTGGGTTGTCTTTTAATAGGTGAATAACACACACAGCTACCACCCTCTCCCCACACACACACACACACACAGTGAATTCCTCAAGCAAAAGAATCTTGTCTGATTGATCTCTAGATTCCTGGTGACTGACAGGAGAGAATCGGGAAATGTTTTTTGAAGTGAAGGTGCACCTCAACTATCCCCCCTCAACTATCCCCTCTTCCATGAAGACTTCTTTGATCATAATAACAGCATCTGTAGCAGTTGCTTTTATAATAAGTAGCACTGAGTCATTCTGCAGGATATTGATCTACCTCCCCCACCCAGACTGAATTTATTCTATCACCTGGACTGACATAGCAGAAAGAATACAGCTTTCAAAGAGTCAGACACAATAGGAATCAGGCACTTCTGGAATCAACTCTCCCACCTTCTAAGAAGCTTATGTATCCTTAGCAAGTCAGCTCCCCACTCTCAGCTTTATTTTCCCCATCTGTAAAACAGTAAGTGTAGGGATGCTGCAGGGATTAGGTAAATCAATATAGGTAAAATACTCACAGGACCTGGCTTGTAACCGATGCATTAAAACCTTTAGTGCTCTGGGCTGGTAGCTCAGTGGTAGAGCAGATGCTTAAGCATCCACATGGCCCTGGGTTCAATCTCTAGCACCATAAAAAATACTTTAATAAAAGGTAAGCATACGTGCTTTGAGAAAAGCATGTGTGTTGGATCTAATCTTAGATCTGTATCATGTGGATGCCACACTGTGCCCTGTTCTGAAACACTGTGGTTCCTCCTGGCTGGAGCCTAGGGTGTGTGGTCAGGTGTTTGTTGAGAAGAAAGTACTTGGGATCCCGAAGCTCATCTGGTTCAACTTATGTCGTGCCAACATTGGTGAAATTTCACAGAAAACACATCTTATTTCTAAGCTGTCTTTAGTTCCTGAGGCTGCCAAATCAAATTACAACAATTAGGTACATTAAAACAAAAGAATTTGTTCTCTGACAGTCCTAGTGGCCAAAAGTCCAAAATCAAGTTGTAAAGGTAATCCTTCCTTGCTTTTCTAGCTACTAGTGGCTCACAAAGTTCCTTGGCTTGTGACTTCATAACTCTGATCCCTGCCTCTGTCTTCACATGGCCTTCTTCTCTTCTTTCCATGTCCCTTTTTTTTTTTTTGGCAGTACTAGAGTTTGAACTCAGGGCCTTGCACTTGCCAGGCAGGTGCTCTACCACTTGAGCTGTACCACCAGCCCTTTTTGTTTTAGTTATTTTTTAAATAGGGTCTCACATTTATGCCCAGGTCAGCCTAGACCACAGTCCTTCTGTTTATGCTTCCCAAGTAACTGAGATGACAGGCAAATACCATCACACCCAGCTTTTATCAGTTGAGATGGGGTCTTACTAACTTTTTTGCCTGAATTGGCCTTGAATTTCAAACCTCCTAATATCTACCTCCAAAGTATCTGGATTACAGGCATGAGCCACCATGCCCACATCTTTTTCTCTTACACAGACACTTCATGTCGGATTTAGAGTCTACCCACATAATCCAGATTTCATTTTAAGAGCCATCTTGTAATTACATCTGGAAATAAGGTTATATTCACAGGTCCCAAGGGTTAGAAAATAGGGTCTATTATTCAGCCCATACACAAGTGAAAAAAAAAAAGGGCCTTGCCAGGCACCAGTGGTTCATGCCTGCAATCCTAGCTACCTAGGCAAAGGCTGAGATCAGGAAGATCATGGTTTGATGCCAGCTGGTCAAATAGTTCACAAGACCCCCATCTCCAAAATAACCAGAACAAAATGGACTAGAGGTGTGGCTGTGGCTCAAGTGGTAGAGTGCCTGCTTGGCAAGTATAAAGCCCTGAGTTCAAACCCCAGTCCACCAAAAAGAAAAAGGAGGGAAGGAAGGAAGGAGAAACAGACAGAGAAGAAGGAAGGAAAGAGAGAGAGAGAAAGAAAGAAAGAAAGAAGGATGGATGGGACGAGTTCAACTATAATATATTATAAGAATTTTGGTAAATGTCACAATGTACTCTCAGTACTACAAAAAGATTTTTTAAAGGAAAATGGGCCTAGAGAGAAAACACAGAATCACTTCTTCCTTTGAGGATCACTTCTAAATATCAGCTAACTTTATTACTTTATTCATTGAGGGCTCCTCTGTGTCCAGCACTTTGTTAGGTGCAGAAAAATCAAACCTAGACCCATCCCTAATGGAGCCACCAATTTCTTGTACAACAAGAGTGACAATCCAGTTTCCCAGTGCTGGATCTGAAGGAAGCCCAGGGGTAGGTGGACCTAGAGAAAAAAGTTGGAGTCAGATTTTCACAGTGGAGGTGACATTTACACAGCATATTGAAGAGTCAATGAGAGTTCATGGAGGACTCCATTTCAGCAGAAATAACAGGATCCATTCCATCTGGATGCTTTTACTGAGGTTCCACTCTTCACAGACCTCCTTCTGGGGGAAGAAAATTTCGATCTCAAGTACACAGCCCATCTCAGACTTCTCTTTCCACTGCCACAAACACTAGAACTGGAACTCCCATCCTTAGGGATGGGAGGAAAACTCAGCTTGTGGCTTGCAAAGTATTCAAGAAAATATTATGTCAAGTATATAGCAAAATGTCTTGGATAAAGTTAGTGTTCAATAAATGCTCTCTACCATTATTTTTATTTGTGCTGTTTTATTCTAAAAATTCTTGTATTATTTAGATCCTAAATAATACAATGTGGCTATAATGTGGCTATTTCAACATAAAAATACTGTAGCTCACTTAGAGAATTAAGTTATCATAATATTTATAGTGTTATATAGTCCCCAGAGAAACATGTATCCAAGGTAGCCAAATGTAACATATATGCCATGATAGGAGGTTTGGGCCAAGTGGTAATAGAAAATGACAAACTCTTCAGGGACTGGGGGACAAGGTCAGAGCAGACTTCCAAAAGTCTTAAAGGATGGCTGGTAGTCTGATAGATGAACAATAGGTATTTAGAACTGTTTGACTCAGATGGCTGGTTTTAACTAGTATTGTTTCAGGTATTTGGGGCAGTTTGAATGTGCTTCCCAAAAGTTCATGTGTTGGAAACTTAATCCCCCAAATTCAAACATTAATGGGTGGGATCTTTGGAGGTAATGAGAAGATGTCCTGGAAGTCGGGCTCCCATGATGGCAGTACTAACTGTATAAACAGAACAGACCCAACTGAGCAGTTTGGTGTGTCTCACCATATGATGCCCTTCCCCGTGTTGTAATGCAATAAGGATGCCCTTGCCAGATATGGACAAAATGTCAGTGTATGCTCTTGGACTTTTCCAGCCTCCAGAATTCTGAGCCAAATGAACTTGTATTCTGTATAAATTACCTAGCCTCAAGTATTTTGTTATTACAACAGAAACTGACTAAGATAGTACTGAAATCAAGCATTTCAGTTTTCAAGGCCCAAAGCCCAAACCTACCCTAATCTGTTTGCCTCTTCTTCCTTTTCCCACTTATGGGTCTGATGCATTGGGTCAATAAGACTTTTTGTGTCTCAAACTTATTAAATCTATCCACTTTCTTGCACCAGAGCCTCTTTCTTCCTTTCACTCATTTAATCAAACACCCATTAGATTTGCATCAGGTCTAGTAAAGAAATGATACAGATAGAATCCCTGACAAAAAGGAATTCACAGCTTATTTCAGATCCAAGTCCTAAACGCAATCCTTGGAAGGATGTAGGAGGTAGAATGAAGGCACATGAGGAGGTTCCTAACTGTAGTGCAGTGTCCAGGAAGCTTCCTAGGGAGACAGTGGCCTTGGCACAAGGACCAACATAAGCAAGGCACAGAGGACCTGGACCAGCACAGTTGGGCATAGCTGAAGCAAAGACTGCATGGAGAGCAACAGGCAAAGGCCAGAAGAGGGCGGAAGTGCCAGTTGAGAAGAACCTGACTACTGGTTAAAGAACCTGAGTATGATTATGGACAACAGGAAGTCACTTTTAGAAAGATGGCCAGGAGGTCCCAGAGAGGCAGCTTTACAGGGGTAGGGCTAGAAGAGTCATGGCTTTGCAGAAGACCAAGTGACAATTGTAAAACCAAGAGGGAGTTCCCCCAAAGAGCCTGCACACACCCAGGAAACCTGA